TTTACACAATTTTAAAATTTGAGCCAACATTTTAAAAAAAATTTTTTTTTTTTTTTTGGTACCAGGGGTCGAACTCAGGCCCTTGTGCTTGTAAGGAAGGTGGCGGAACCACTGAGCCAAACCCTTGGCCCCTAAAAAGATTTTAAAAAAACTCACAAGTAAAACATCCAGATTTAAAGCATTTAAGGAAAAGAAAGGAAGATTTGGCAGCCATGGCTTCCACGTTCTCCTGTAGCCAAGAACTGCAGAAGCTGGGTTCCTCTAAAGTAGAGCTAGACAGACAAAGTGTGGGAATTAAGGGGAAAAAAGAACAAGCAAATAAGATGTGGCCTCTTGCACTCAGGAAGATTTCAGGAATCTCAACAGTGAGAAGCTTCCCTAACGTGGTATGCCACGGGACTCTGGGACACGAGACAGCAACGGCTGCTCACAGAGAAACCTACAGGTGATGCAAATCTTTCAGCACCAACGTGGCCCAAATGAATCACTTTTAGTACTCTTGTCCAGCTCTAGGTGAGTATTTCAAAAGAAATCTTTTCTATGATGCCAATTAAAGAATACATAGCTCTTAAAATTCTTGCACCAATTCTACTACTTATGTCAAGTTTAGCAAGGAGACAAAAAGGACACAGTTCTTGGTATGTGCAGTGCCTCACACAGTATTTTTTTTTTTCTTGGTACCACAGATTGAACTTGGGTCCTTGCGCTTGTGAGGCAGGTGGCAGAACCACTGAGCCAAATCCCCTGCCCCTCACACATTCTCTACAGTCTTCTCTGTCAATAACTAAGCCTCAACTCACCCTCAAAGGTCAAAACATAATACCTGCCCAGGGTCAAAGAGAAAGCCAGTCTTTTCCAGTGTTGCATGCTATTTTCCTTGCTTCTCTAACAAGTTCTCTCAAGTTTTGGTTTCTTGTTTCTGCCCAGTAGGTGGCAAGATGGAAAGTGCAACGTTTTATTTCAATTACTTTTTTTTTTTAAACAGGGTCTCATTATGCAGTTCAGGCTGGTTTTGAACTCACTATGTAGCCTAGGCAGGCCTCTAACTCGTGGCTTCCTGAGTGCTGGGATTACATGCGTGCATCACCACGTCTGGCCATTCTTTACAAAAAAAAAAAAAGTTTCCTAAGCATCTTATGAAGTATCTTTCAGGCCCCCGTGCTAATCCTCTCCTCCTCTAGGTTCCAACCATTCTGTCTCATGGTATCATGATGCCATCTCTTTTTGGGAGCCAGTTATTTTGTTGTATTTTACAAAAAATAGGTGGCAAAGAACAACTGCCAAGGACTTTGCCCAAGGTCACAGAAGAGGCAAATAAGGACTCAAGACTTCCTAAGACTTGGCCCAGGGTTTGGGAAGTCAGGAAATCCTGACATTTGAGTACTGTTTCTGGTGTGCCAAAACTATTTGCTGCAAACTATTATAAAGGGTATAAATTTAAAGAGGCGGTAAAGGAAGACACAGCAAAAGTGTTCTATAGAGAAAGAAAGAAAACAAGTCCTAAGGCTTCTAAGGAGGGAGATGCAGGGAAATGGCATCCTGTGTGGTCCATGGTGCAAGGAAGAGGGGAAGAAAAGAGGGAAGGCGGCAGAGCAAGGGTCAGAGAAGAGAGCCGAGAGCAAGAAAACACTGCATGTGGAGGGGTGGAGGCCACACACTGCGCTGGGCAAGAGATCAGGTCAAGGAAGCCACTTGGATACAGAGGACTCAGCTAAGTGCATCTGCAGAGAGCGCTTCCTAAACTAAGAGCCTGTACACCATATCCCCAAACAGGGAAACAGAAGATCTGTGAAATAAAACATGGGAGGAAATGTGCAAGAACACACTTCCCCTCCCACCCACACGAGAAGTGCATCACACGCTACTGCACACATGTGCACAAATGATGGCCCGGAAGGGGTGAGGTGTGTGGACTCTGCAGACTTTCCCGGCACAAGCAAGTGCTGGGCTCTGAAGCCAGACCCTGCCACGCGCTAGTTGGGTGACGTGGGCAACTTAAACTTCTCTGCGTCATTCTTCTCCTGTGAAATGGGAGGAACTCTACTACTCAGCTCAGAGTTGTTACAGGATTGCATAAAGTACATATTTAGAATAGTGTCTGACACACGTCCAGCACCCAAAAGCTAAGTAAAGTAAGTCATGTGCATGCAAAGGAACAGAGGGGATACACAGGCTCACACTTCCCAACAGTCATGGTAGAACGACATAAATACGTTCTTGTAGAAAGAATATAGGCAAAAACTAAGACATTTGGAAGTTGATGCTATCATTATCGTTGATGTAGAAGGAAAGGGAAGTCACTTGCAAGAAAACTGGAAAAAAGTAGATCTGGACAGGAATGTGAGCTACCTAGGAAGTCAGAGGGTAGTTTTAACACCAGGCTGTCCATGCCAGGACCAGAAGGCCCAGTCTGTTGTGATACAGGGAAGGAGGTGAAGGCAGCAGTTGCTACGGTCAGACAAAGTCAGCCATGTCAAAAATGACTCCTGTGCCTGTGGCTTCCTGAATAAGAGGACACGAAGAATCACGCTGCCTTGCTCCCTCTACGGTATTTCTCCTTCGCCTCTTACGATCCGGACTGGAACTAAGCTCCCTGTGGACTGCCAGCGACTTCCCAATTCCCAGAGCCAAGGGCTCATCTCCCTGTATGTGAAGGTCCTCGTGAGCATCTGAGACCACCGGCAAGCCTTTATTTTTAGAAACTTCCTTCGTGTGTTTAACACCACTCCGCTCTCCTCGTACCTCCATAATTATCCCTTTGCAATCGTTTTAAACGCTTCCTTCCGACTCTCTTCTTTGAAGCCGTCCTTCTTCTCCATGCTCACTCCCGCCGCTGCCGTCCAGGTCTCTCTCATCTGCCTGGGTTTCTCGAGCAGCCGCACGGCTGGTCTCCCTGTCCCCTCTCCGCATTTTATCCACCCGCCCCCAGAGATGCGGTCATGCTGCTCTTCTAAAGATCGCTGCTGGCAAACTGTACTCTCAATGTAGAAGTCACATCTCACGTAATTGGATCTCACTCCAATTTACCCTTCCAGTTTTATCTTCCTCCTCTCTCCCCTGCCTGCACTAACCGACACGGAACTTCTCAATGGGCCCAAATATGCTGTCTCATGACATCATCTGTGGGGCCCACTCCTCCAACTTTTCCACTTGGGAAAGTCCTTTACTTCCTCCAGACCCACCTTTATTGTCACCTGAGAACTGTCCTCCTCAGCTTCCTTGAGCAGTGAGAGTTCTCCGTTTTCTCACTGCAGTAGCGCTATGGTCAAACATCTCACACAAAAGGCCATGCGAGACGGACTGACCCGATCAATCATCCATTTCCCATTCCACTCTGAACTTCAAAGATGGAGCCAAATGCTCCTAAAAACTCTCATACCCAGCACAAAACTATACTGGCTGAAACAAACATAATCCTCTCATACACTGGGAAGACTCTTCAATGCAACAAAGGTCAGTGATGAAACATAAAACAAGAAATCAGTCGAGACTGTTTGGCAAAGCATCTGCGGGGCAGTGGCGGCAATGGGGTTGGCTCTACAGTCAGTAAATAGGAAGAGGGCTGCTCTCACCGCTGTATGTCCTTATTCTTCCACAAGGGGGCAGACTGAGCCTTTGGCACTCTTTCAATGAAATTCACCAGCTCTTCCATGAGAAGCCTGGGTTTAAATAAAAGATGTGAAAAATGATTAGAAAAACTCCTTCCTCTAACACCATAGCCAGGAGAAATAGACTTGCCCTCCTCCCCCATCCCACTCCAGCACCATTTCACGCTGAGCTAGACAAAAAACTAGCCTTCTTGGTGAATTTATCTTAAAATTTTTGAATTAAAAAGATTCAACCTTTAAGGCAAATCCTGCTTGTCTCTAAACACTGAACTATGTAAGCCTATTTTAAGTCATTCTAGGATTCTGGCCTTTATGTTACTAATGGGGAAGTTGTTAAATGACTGTGAAATATCAATTTTGGTGGCAGCAGGGCTGCAACCAAGATTACTGTTAAAAAAAATGACAATATGAAATGGACAATATTTCAAGGACTATCCTAAAAATGAAAGGATTAGCAAAAAGTAAATCTCTGTGAGATCACGACATGGAATAGCACAGATCTGCAGTTGACGGCATCTATGAAATGCTGCTGGGTTGAGGGTGCACACGCTCTCAGGACTCATGGCACAGAGAACTGTGAGGACTCTTGGACCAAAAAGCTAGCAATACACTTTCAACATTTTGTTCATAATCGAATGCAGATGATTCTCACCTCCATATCAGTGTATGATGACAGCAAGCTACATATGTGTATGCCATCTAATGACTGAACATCTTCATCTCACTTCCATCTTTTTAATCATAATGCCATCTCCTTTCTCGGTGGGAAGGTGGGAGGCGTGTGTGTGTGTGTGTGTGTGTGTGTGTGTGTGTGTGTGACTCAGGAAGTTTGCACTGAGCTACATCCCTAGCCTCCTGTATGAGAGAGAATCTTGCTAAGTTGCCTACGCTGGACTCCAGCTTATAATCCTGCCTCGGCCTCCTGGAATGCTGAGCTTCCAGGTAGGAGCTTCTATGCCCAGCTCTCTCTTCCCATCTTGGAGAAGCAGCAGTAGTTCCAGGAGGCCATGATCTGAGACTCAGGCTCATGACGGTTCCGGCTCTGGCTTTCTCAGGAGCAGCCTGGGGCGTCCATCCTCCTGCTCTCACTTCTCCAGATTACAGCCTTTCATTTCAGCGTCTCCTTCCCTGGAACTGGTCCATCACTGAGCACCTTACTTTCCTATCATGGCCCCTCCTTGGCTCCCCTGTGGTTTTCCATATACAGTGCAGGTAGAATGGTTGCGTGCACGGAACAGAGTGATTCATTCTAGTCATTCAGTCTTTTTGGATTCTAGAATCCAACCTCAGAGTCCAGATCCCATATAATGGGTCCTGATGGATTTAAATTATACTTGTTGATTTATTTTAAAATAATAATTTAAGAGATATTTTTTCTGGGGTAATTTCCTTCACATAATGATTTTTTCAATAAATGATGCTATAGGTACTTTCAGCAACCATCTATGTCACTAAGTCCTGGCTGAGGCAGGGAAAGGGAGAGCTGATCTTCTTAAGAGTCAAAGGAAGACTGTGCATTGTTACTCCTTAGAGTTAAGTGCAATGTTTCACTCTGTCACCAGCAGGGACAACTTAACCACCTACTTATCTGTTGCCTGTTTTCTGCAAGACATCGATAAGCATGCAGCAAACCATAAAAGGGAATATACTGGAAGCAAAGTAATAAAACTTCTTCTGAAGCTCTCTGCCTGCCTTGCCTCTTTGCAGCATCTTCCCAAACTTTACCTCCTACAATTAGTATCGTCTGCAAAGGAGCTATCTCTGTGAACTCCCTTAAATTTACACTGAAACAAAATGACTAACAGGACCATACACAGCATCACTGTCCAGGCATTTCCAAGGAACAATGCTTTCTCTAGAGTCGTGGACCTGCCCAAGAAGAAAGGAACAAGCCACCCAGGCATCACGCTCTGCAAACCAGTCTCCACGGGGGGAGGAGCTGCAGCCACATCCCAGCGGGCTTGGTGTATGGCTCTCACCTGCCAATCTGGACAGTGGGCTCCGTGGCATACACGGTGCCTGTGAATCCCGTGTGCTCGGTGATGTAGGGCAGCGCCATCATGCAGTGATAGTTAGAGATGAGAATTACATCTACAGTGGACAGGTCTATTAGCTCAGTCTGAAAAGAAAGGAGGGATGAGATGTCTTTAGGCAGGGCGCACAGGTCAATGTGAAGTGACTGAAAATGACGCTGTCAATGCAGAGAAGTGGTTTTTGTACTTCAGAGTAATGAGGCCTTTCCCCGCCAACTTTCCACTCTCTTACTGTACGATTCTACTAATATCGACATTAAGTATCAAGACAGGATAGCTAACAAGGAGAATACACACAGTCCATCGGCAGTACTATGACTTTACTAGAAGAGCTCTTCTGAGTTAAATGTCAGGCTAAATGACAACAGGACATAGAGGCAGCTGTTACCTAGCAGGTGAAACCGGGTAAAATAAAGCAAGAGAACAATCTCGGCTCTCAGGTGTACTAGCACAGACTGCACCACTGCTACAGAGCAATAGGAAGTGGGGAGCAACACACAGAAACCTACTGTCAAGTGCCAAATGGTGGGACAACTAGGTTTTGTTTGTTGAGACAATTTTTAACCACTAGGTCTGTCTGTATATGGAGTCAATAAAAAGGGAATGACAGGCACGAGAAGAAATTCATATTCTATCCTCATCTTAACCTAAATCTGCCCTTGTAGTCTGTTATTATGGTCATGTGAAATAAGAAAAAGATTAGAAAAAGGCAAGGGAAATCGCTATCCCAGTTTGGTAAATGTTAAGAAAATTTTCTCCCACGAGTGTAAGCTTTTCCTGCTTGTTAAGGCTCCGTTCTCTTCTTCCACTGGCCTTCCTGAGGTGCCTGGATGAAAGCACCCACTTGCTCCTCTGAAGCTCTGCGTACTTTTCACGTGTATCCCCCTTGTGACAGCACTCTGTACAGTGGCACCTCGGCAGCACCTTGTCGTGTGTCCCCTCCTGACTGTGGCTTGGTGCACTGGTGTTGCAGGGCCGAGGCTCTGTACCGTCACTGAGGAAGTGAGAAGCGGTGGCTCAGGGAAATCATCATAGCACTCTGAGCTCCCCTCATGAGGAGCTGAGCCCCAAAACCATACCGTGCACTGAGGATGAGCGAGAACAGTCAGGTCACAGAGGGGAATGGGTTCGGAGCTATGGTTTATACGCAGATGTCCCTCAGAGGTGACTGGATCGTTGGGGTGTGATACGCATCAGTGGGTTAGTCCACGGAGGAGTTCAGAGCCCAATGTGACCCTGGAAGGTGGGTCACTGTGAGCGCGGCCTGGGGGGGGTCCATCGCCTCACTCTTCCCTTTACTTCTCTGCTTCCCACAGCTGTGTCCTGAGCTACTTCTCCTGTCCAGGCCCCTCTGCCAGGCCACCCTGCCTTGGAGTCACCTGACCAGGGACTGAAACCTCTACAAACGTGAGCCAAAATAACTTCTGCTCCTTCCAATTCAGGGTATCAGCTACTGTGTGTCACTGATGAAGAAAGTAACGAAGATAGTTCCCATGGAGAAGTAACAAAGATATCTCTACACAAGCAGATGGTAAGAGGCAGCACGCCATTTTGGCTGTGGGTTCTTCATGGCTGAACAATTCTGCATGTAAGATAATTTAATAAAACTGCCAAAGCAGCATTGGCTCCAAAGGGCAGCATGTGTGTTGAGGTCCCAAGTACCTCACTGCTAGGCAGCAGCATTTATGTGACTAATACGCCTAGGGACTTTAACAGCCCACGTCACCCTTAACTCCACACTGCTGCTGCACTTGCATAATGATGGCCACGACGAAGGATAGTGATACCATTGACTGTACTCTCCTATTCCTCTCTAGAGTCATTTCTAAACAAATAAAGACATTAAGGGAGAGTGGCAGAATTTCAAGTCCAAAAGAAAATGACAAGAATGATAGCTGGAGTAACAGTAAAACTCAAAAGTATCACCACTTTCCTCACATATACAGAAACTGGGTGATGAAACTTGAAATTTCTCTTAATATGGCAGCACACACCTATAATCCCAGAACTTGGGAGGCTGAGGCAGGAGGACTGCTGCGCGTTTTAGGCCAGCCTTACATAGTTCCAGGCCAGACTGGGCCACATGGTGAGATCCTGTCTCAAAATACCAAAATCAGTACACAGGGTCTACCATTATAAGAAATTTGGAAGGAAAGCTGGAAGAAAATATGTATTTATTCTTTTTGTACGTGTATGTATACATAAGGAATGATCAAAATACATAGTGAATGTGTAAACTTAAACATTATTACAGTAAAAGACACACTGCCATTATCGCCTCAAATCCTCCCTCCCGCTTCCTTCCAACACCCTCATCCCATCCTTCCTGCCACTTTCTGAAGCAGCTCTGAAGGCTCTCTTTTGTATCTCTCTTTACTATAGCAAAACCAAATGTCTTCTAACAGGAAGGCGGGCCCTTAAAGACATGACAATGTGTCCTCATCCACCTTATTCACCAGATCTGGCACCAGGCAATTTCTGTCTCTTCCTCAAAGTCAGAAAGTAATGAAGGGTAAGCATCTGGAACAGATTCAGGACATCAAGGCAGTCCCAACAGTGCACCTAAAGACATTCGTGAAAGAGGACTTCCAAAACTGTTTAAAAAGTGACAGAGACCATGGGATAGTTGTGCTTGGAGCACAAGGGAATATTTCAAGGGGGACTATTGACAGTGTGTTTATTGTAATACATTTTAAAAATTTGTGAAAAATATTCCATATTTTTAATCACATCTCATATACACCCAGAATGCATGCTTAAACATCTCCCCCAAAGTAAGTAATAAATTTAATTTTCAAATCATGTGTGTGTATGGATATATTCATAATTTATATATTTATTTACTTCCACTCAGTGGAATCCAATAAAAATTATGGAGTCAAATAATCACAATTTACTGATTACCTCCTGTACTGTGCTAGAGTACGTTTGCAGTTTATGGTGCAGACTCTGGAGTGTTCCGAGATATTTAAGACAGCTGCACTAGGCTGAAAACTTCATAAGGACTGGGCTGGTTCTGCTGGGCTTGCCTACAAGCCAGTGAAACCAGACTGCAGTCAGGGTCTCTCTCCTGCTTCTACCATAGTCCTATTTTTTCCTTGTCCTGTCATGGCTTGGCTCTACCTTAAAACAGTGATTGTTACTCATTTGTTCCATGTACTCTTTCTTGAAGAACCTTCTATAGCTTCAGAACTCTAATCAGCACCACTTCAGCTGGACAAAAGGTGAGCTGTGACGTGCTAATCATCTAATTTAAATGCTGAGTCCTCCATGGAGCAAGACAGAGTCTTCTGAGCACTGCCGTCTGCATACACTGAAGGCTGTAGTCATCAGTGCCAGCTACAGCACACTGAAAATAAATGCAGCACCTGAGATTAGGAATCTCTGAACAGCTGGGGAAGTGCCTCACCCATTCCTAAGTGAAAAGTGTGGAAGACAGCAATGAGGGAGGGCTCAGGATTCTCGACGACTCTCTCCCTCCCCTTCCTCCTCACCACTGTATCTGCCACCTTCAGTTACAATGTCCTTCGCTGCTTTGCTTTTGCTCTGGTACCCACAAAGGGCACAAACACATACGTCAGAGAGAGAGAGAGAAAGCTTATCTGTAGAGTTTCAGAATGCAGAAATGGGAAGAGCCAAAGAAGAGAGGAACAAAACAGAGGAAGCTGTGGTGTAAACTGAATTATGAACACGTTTTCTCCAGGCACTGGAATCCGAGAGGCACGTGGAAGGAGGAGCACACAACTTCTCACTGATTTCCTAGGAACCCCAGAGAAGCCACTGGCTCCCCTACAGTCACCTGTCTGTTGAGCACCCCATGCAGGCTACTCTGGGGATCAGGCCTTTCAGCTAAGGTCACCTCCCTTTAAAACTAACTGAAACTATTCTCAAACCCCAATAACAGATCTCACTGCAGAAATATGAAAGCATCGGATAGCCATCTCAGTCTGGAACCCACGGATTTCAAGCGGTATTCATATATTTTTAAGCCAGCAAGCATTTTTACAGCATTTATTGGCTGAATAATGGCAATCCTCATTTACCCACTGTAAGCAAGAGTAGGAAAAGTATGGCTAATCTGAGCACAAAGGCATTATAATTACAAAAGTGAAAGGCTTAAGTTATTTCCTTACCTTGCTCAAAACTATGTCCGAAAAGTATTACTGGGGATTACAGAAAGAGCTAGAAATAAGAACAGAGTGACTTACATGATTTATAGACAACATAAAATGCTCCTAAGTGATGTTTTAGTTGTGTAACAATGTGCCAGGAATATCAAATTCATTTCAATTTGAAAACAGGAAGCTTAGCCCCTTAAAATTCATTCTTGACTTCACTGTGAGAGGTTACACAATATGCTTGGTTTCTACAGTAAGAATCACTTTCATCTTACCTCTGGTAAACAGAATTCAGGCACAGAATCCACAAATACATGACCTGAGCACTCCTTTAACTCCTACAAGAGACAAAGAAGGACAATACTAGTGAGAGATGTCCGATATGTACAACAGCAATGAAAATCTCCCAACCATTCCTCAGAGGTGGTAGGTTATTCAAGATAACTGGTGCCTGTTTGAGCTCAGGTAGGTTGTGTCTCATTGAGGTGAAAACACTGTTCGTTGGCAGGCTCAGGGTTCAAATGCATATTCCTTGATGCCTTTTTAAAGGAGGACACATGCTGCCTGTATAATCAATGAACCAATGGTTTCCAAGTAATGATTATGAAGACCAGAGCGGCAAAGTCAGAATTATCTGGGGGCACTGATTAAATCAAAGATTGCCGGGCCCTATCTAATACCTAGGCAATCAAACTAGGGATGAGGGCATGGAGTCTCTGTTTATGACAAGTGATTCTGCCATACAATCAGGTTAGGAGTCACAGCCATGCACAGATTACTCATCTACCAAATTTCCACCCACCAAGGGCTGGGGGAAAAGTGGAAATAAGGATGGAGGATCGAGAGTAGGGAATATGGATTAAACGTCCATTATTGCCATGAAGGTAATGCTTGTCCTTATAGGATACACATTTTATTTGGAATTACAAATATATTCACTCAAATAAAAAAGTATATATCCAAAGAAACAGAATACAGCTTAACTTCCCACGTTGCCCGCCACTGACTGTCTTTAATGGGCCTCTCCCAAAGGCTGACTGACAAAAAGGTTTGAGAGCAAGTAGTTCCTATGGGAGGCACTGTTTTTCTAGTACTTCCCATGCAAATGAGGAAGGGATACACGAAGGTGGCTGATGATGGATGTCACTAAGCCGAGTTTCACTTTGGGCAACTGGAACTCATCCTCAGGGGGACACTCAAGAGTGATACAGAATGCTCACCTCCAAGTTTTCCTACTGAAAGATGACAGAATATTTATTTGCCAACACCAGCAAAATATGCAGGGTTAGAAAAAACGCAGGCAAAGCCACACAGACAGCTGGAATTATGCCAGAGCACACTAAAATGCAAAGGCCAGAGATATGGATGACCACCAACAGGTCTGCTACAACACTCCCGAGAGGCCACAAAAGAAGCCTAGGGTAGGTCTTTTCTATCATCCAGGTTAAAGCTACGTATGACTTCACAACAAAATCAGTCAGAATTTTCTTTTTTGGTACCAGGGATCGAACTCAGGTCCTTCGCTTGCGAGGCAGGCGGCGGAACACTGAGCTAAATGCCCAGCAAAATCAGTCAGAATTTGATAGAGTATCCTTGTCTCTTTGGAGAAAGGGCAAATACTATTATAATTTTGTTTTATCATATTTTCATTGTTCACTCAATATATATTTCCATATATTCATTTATACATGTATATAAATTTATAGTCTAAATGACTTTTTTCTCTTAATCTGCATTTGAAAACAGGGCATTAACTACATAATTGTCTTTTTGAATTTTACAAGTCCCAGATGAGAGTCTTAATAGAATATGTCTGCCCCTAGCACACTGTACACTTGGGTCCCTCCCCTTACTGGCTACTGTTTTAACTAGTGACAGGCTGAGCCAGAAAAAGACACTGAGAACTGTGTCCTTCCTTCCTTCCTTCCTTCCTTCTTTTTTCCACACAGGGTCTCAGTATGTATTACAGGCTGACCCTGAATTCACTCTGTAGCCCAGGCTGACCTTGAACTTACAGCGATCCTCCTGCCTCAGCCTTCTGAGTGAATGCTGGGACTACCGGCATGCACCACTATGCCATCTGAAAATAATTTCCTCAGCCTTCTGAGTGAATGCTGGGACTACCGGCATGCACCACTATGCCATCTGAAAATAATTCTTAATTATAATGTATAGTACTTGGCAGCTAAAAAAAAAAAAAAAGTAATTATGTTTGCTCCAACTCCTTTAGGATGAGGTTAAAAATGATTAAAGACAAATCATGGGAAATTTCAAAGCTTTGCCTGACTCCAGATTGGCTATGTAATCTTCCTCCTGCACTGCTATGCATGAGGGGATGGCACATGATAAAGTCTCCTCCGAGGTGTTCATCCTTCCCGGCCTGCAGAGGCATACTTGCCATTCCAAACACTCACAGTGTCACTGTATTTTATTCACCACTCCCACATACACATGCAAGTCATTTCCCTCACAATGCACTGGTAATGGGATGCTTCGGAGCCCTTCTTAGGGAGCAATGATTTATAGCCAGCAAGAGAAACAGGCTGAAATCAGGTGCACGGTTTCCTGAATGTCACATAATTTTACAGTTAGCTATGAGAGCAATCTGGTTTCAAATTATGCATTTGGCTTATACTTGAGGTTGGGGTGCAGTTACAGGAATTAATTCTGTAAAAAAAAGCGCCTATTTAACAATATCTCTTATAAGAAGGAAATGTATTATTCAGATGAATCATGTTAAGAATCTTTAAACTCATTCAGTTTTCCAATTGTGAAATTAGGAGAGGAAGGATGATTTAGAGGGCCAAGAAGTGGCACGCCGAAGCTTTACAGTATTTAACCTTCCTATATCGCTGATTTGTTTTTTATTAAAAAGTCTGACTGGATTATCACTTTGATATTTCTGCAGCTTTGGTCTCTCATTTAATAAGCTGAGCTCTTTAATGTATCACCTTTGAAACTGTAACTACAATTCTAGAAATAAGAGATTTCTTTCTTCTATAATAAAAAGTATTTGCAGAAGTATTTAGATTTCAGCACATGCACAAATTTGATCTGAAATGGAACACTGAGGTTCTCTAAAAAAGGTGCTCAAAAACAACAGCTATCAAGGACTTATGACCCTACCAAGAATCTTGCCCCAGCCTCCCAGGAGAATATACATTAGAAAAAAGAAATATGAGCTCAGGAGTCACATTACTACTCTGGTAGGACAAAATGGCTTCCACTGGGTGTAGACGGGCTTCAGATTCTCGTTTTGGACATTACCTTGTCTAAGAAAGCATTTCCATCCTTCAGGGACCAGCCAGGAAGATTACACAGCCTGGGACTGCAAAACAAAAATTAAATTATCCTAAATAGATTATAATCCTCAGTGATTTCATGGTGACTGTACTGTCTTCATAAAGTTAAAAACAGTTTGAAATTACTGGCAGTGATGCTTACCCAAAATAACCATTGAGAGAGAGAGAGAGAGAGAGACAAAGAGAAAAAAATAACCATGTTGTACTGAGCTTTGCAATTATGTGGCAATAGAATATCCAAAGGTCAAATACTTTAGAACAAAATAAAGAAAATTAAAAGAAAGCTATGCAGAATAATAAAGAAAAAGATAAATAAGACACTAGGCGTTTTGGAGCCTTTAATCACTGCCCCAGCTTTACCTGTGTTTGACAACATGCCTGAGTGGAGGGCAGAGTGGGCGGTACCACAAAGCGTGCGAGAAAGCAGACCCGGCTTAGTGCTCTGCTAAGAGTGCTCTCCCACAAACACGGATGCCTGAGTTCTCCTCAAGCCAGGCTCCGGAGACAACACTGACAAGTGCCTCACGCACTCGTTACCTGCAGCTTGCGCTTCCAATTATGGGAAATGAAGCGAGTTCTCACAAGTGCTACAAAATGACACTCTCCCCAGGTGAACAGTTTCCAGAAGGTGCAATTAAAAACCCCAAATTAAAAAATCATTTACTTGTAGTGATCTCAGAACTTAACTGTGTACTATCTGTGATGAGAAGAATTATATTGGAAGCTGAAAATGCCAACAATTCATGTGAAAAAAAAAAAAGTGTATTGATCAAATGAAAAAAGGACCAAAGAGAGAAAAAGCATATCAGGAATACACATAGGATGGCAAGAGAATGTCAGCTCTTTTCTCAAAAAGTTAATGTCTGTGAAGTAAAAATAAAGGGCAAAGTAAGGGTGTGAGACTAAAAGGACTCTACTGTATTTTCCTCTTTCTGTTGAATAATTTATCAGATTCTGACTTTGTAATCAAACAGAAACACAAGTATGTGAATATTTTTCAACCTCCTTGGAAAGATTTTATTCAGAAAAATCTGAATAAAATATACACACATCTAGTTTCAGAAAAAGAGAATTTTGGGAGCAGCTTTCAATTTTGACATTAATGTCAAACCTACAGAAAGTCCCAGGACTATATATACAATGAACTCCCACATATCCTTTAACTAAATTCATATATTTCATATAATGTTTGTACTTTGCTTTAATAATCCAAAGGTGAGAATTCTGAATTTAATATTTGAAAATGAAAAGCACAACCAGAAGAATCAAAATTGGTATAAATGACTCCTGATAAACTACCTTTTTTTTAAAACTGAGAGTTCTCTGTTCTAACCTCTCATCAAAATATTCCATTAATTCCCATCTTGTTTCACAGTCACAGATGCCTTTACTTATAAATGTCTTACTTCATTTTTTTGATACCGGGGATCAAACTTAGGACCTTGTGCTTGGAAGGCAGATGGCAGTGCCACTGAGCTAGATCCCCAGCAAATGTCTTGCTTCTTGAAAAATGTATTTACTATCAGATCAGAGTTAAAAAGCAGGCATTCCAATAACAATGTAATGACTAGACGATGTGGACACCATTCTCATTTCACGCATGCTAACTCTCTAAAATGAGGCTGTAAATACCTACTCCCTTTACAAAGAGAACTGGACTAAAAGACATGCGCTCTGTCTCCTCCCCATCAGGCACACACAAATCAGATGATGGCTGCATCAGACGTCTTCAACAAATAATTAGAAATAGTATGCTGCTTATCAGAAAATAACTCTTTTTTTTTTTTTTTGGTACTGGGGATTGAACTTAGGTCCTTGCACTCACAAGGCAGGTGGTAGAACCACTGAGCTAATTCCCTGGCCCTATAACTCATATTTTAAAAGCCCAAATTTTCCAGGATTGAAGCCCTTCCGGTAACTTTGGGTCTGGGACATTGCTAGTAGATGGGACTACTTCACAGGGAAAGTACGACTGCAGGGTGACAGTACAGGCTGACACGCCCTACAGAAATGCTGAGGGCCAAAAGTGTTTCAGGCTATGATATGGATTTTGCAATATTTGCATAAACTTTACTGGCTGAGCATCCCTAATCTGAAACCTGAAATCCTCCAAAAATCCAAAACTTTTTCAGTATTATGTCTGTGAATTTTGGAACATGTCCAATTAGGGATGTTTAGCCTGTAGTGCCAAAGGTCTTCAAGGGACACAAAATATGTCACCAAATGCCAAAGGATGTTGCTGATACAGTGATGAAAATATTTGGTTATTCTGTTCCAGTGCATTGATAAATAAACCATAAAGGGTAAACTTTAATTGACCAAAGGGGAAGGAACTGACTACTTTGTGCCTAATGATTACAAAATTCAACTACATAAAAATTTGTTAAAAACAACAAAACTAGGCAGCAGAGATCTCTCTACAGAAATCTACTTTAATAATGAACACATTAGAAAAGCTTTGATTGCAGATGAACACATCTTTTTAATCTACTGTTTCAGAACCATATCTAAGAAAAAAGGATACTATTTGGGATTTGGCTCAGTGGTTCTGGCTCAGTGGTTCTGCCGCCTGCCTCATAAGTGCAAGGGCCCAAGTTCGATCCCCACTACCAAAAAAAAAAAAAAAGAAAACCTAAGAAAAAACCATGCGTGCAACATTTATTTTTCCAGTGATTGCTTATTTTGGAAAAACAGGTAAACTATTTGCATAAACAAGTAAGTAACCTAAGTCAATGTAAGTAATCTCTTTGCCTATAAAAAATATTGAAAAGCAGGCTCCACATAATATGCAATTTATTTTTTCCTTAAACTTTTTAGGGCTGGGTCCTGAGGGTTGAAACAGGGAGTGGTGAGCTACATCCTTTTTGATTTTTCATTTGAGACAGGGTCTCACTAAGTCATTAAGTTCTCCAAGCGGGGCTCTAAAATAGGAATTGCCACCTTAGAAGTTCTAAGAGATGAGCTCCTGTAAGCAGGCTGAGGAAGGCAGGACTGGAGAGGAAGAGAGGAACCTTCCAAGCTGAAGGAACAATGTGTGTGCTGGCTCTGAGGCAGGAGACAAGATTTCTTTGAAACTCTGGAAGGAAACAAAGAGCAAGTGGATGAGCAAAAAGAAGACAACAGACAGGCAAGTGTCTAATATATCAAAAGGAGTTTGATGTCTCCCAAAAGCAATGAAAAACCACTGAGAGGTTTTTAAAACTGAGAGGTTAAGATTACATTTCTGATGAAAATAATAATCTCAATCCACTTATGAAGAACAGACACACCCAAATTAAAAAATATTATGTAAAATAATTGCTTATACTACAAAAAATGTCAAGGTCATAAAAAACAGACCAAGAAACTCTTCGAGATTAAAGGAGTCTAAAAGCATGATAACTAAATGCAGTATGTGGTGTGAAACGTGATCCTCGGCCAGAAATTCTTTTTTTTTTGCTATAAAGTTTCACAGTGAAATATGAATTGGTGAAACTGAGAATGTGAATAAAGCATATAATACTGGTATACAACAATGTAAATTTCTAGGTCTTGATAATTATATCATAGTAAGAGAGTGTTCTTGCTCTCAGGAAATATGTACTCAAATATTTAAGGGTCAGTGAGCATCATGTCTGAACCTTACTCTTCGATGGGATAGAAAAAATAATATGCATACATATAAAATGATAATACAAATATGTTAAAATGCCAGCTATTGGTCAGAGTAATTAGGAGTTGCCTGTGCTATTTTTGCCAATTTCCTGAAAATCTGGGAGATTTCTAAATAAAAAGTTATACCAAAAGATGACTTTGGATCCAGAGAGGAAAAGTCCAACTTGAAAAAACCGGTTAGAGGGCTGGGCATGGTGGCGCACGCCTGTAATCCCAGCACTTGGGAGGCTGAGGCAGGAGGATCACTATGAGTTCAAGACTAGCCTGGACTACATAGTGAGTTCCAGGGCAGTCTGAACTACATAGTGAGACCCTGTCTCAAAAAAAACAAAAACAAACAAACAAACAAACAAAAACTGGTTAGGAGGCTTCAGTAGTCCCTATAAAAGGTAGTCATGACTGCAGGAATACTGAAGAGATGTGCCTTGTTGGAACTGTTCAGAAGGTAAAAATGACAAAATGAAAATGAAAGATTGGACAGGGTAGTGAGAAAGAGAGGGTATCCATGTTAATGCCCTGCTTTCTGGCTTTTATAAAAGAATACCATTCACTAAGATAGGGGAATTGGGGAAAAACCCGGTCTGAGAGTGTATGTTCTTTTCTGGAGCAAGTCTGATCATAAATTTGTCTTGGGACATGTTGACCTTTGAGGTGCTATCAAACAAACGGGCATCCAAGGAGAGAGACTTAGAAGAGCACATGACTCTAGAGCAAGGAAAGGGTTTTTAAGACACACACTGCTAAGGTATTGTTTGGATGGTCACTAAAGCCTTGAGGACATGTTAAATTCCCTTGGTGGAGATATGACAGCCAAGCACTAAACACTGAAGAATTACAACACAGTACATGATGGCTAGTTAAGAGGAAGAGTCTCCAAAACACATAGAAAAGGAAGTCAGAAAAGTAAGAAGGGAGCCAGAGATGTGCTAGTGTGGAGGACAGTGCTGTTGAATGTTAAGTCATTTGTGACCTTAGTGAAAGCTGTTCCAGTGGAGTGGTGTGGCAGAGTAAAGGCTGAAGGGGAAAGTAGAGTTGAGAAGTTTAAAATTTTGCCTTAAATTTTAAGTGAAGCCAGGCTAGGTGGTGCATATCTGTAATCCCAGCAGTATGGGAGGCTGAGACAGGAGGATCACAAATTTGAGGCTACCCTGCGCAACTTAGTGAGATCCTGTCTCTAAATGAAAAACAAAAACAAAAACAAAGTAGGCCTGGGGATGTAGTTAGATGAGAAGGCCCTGTGTTCAATCCCCAGTACCACAAAGGTAAAATAAAAATTTTCAGGTTAGGTGTGCCTAACCATAATTAAAGGGAAAAGACTGTGTCAAGATGGAAAGGAAAGATAAATAATTGAATAGTATACTTGATGAATTATAATAATGAAAAGACTCTGAGAAGTTAAGACAGATGAGATCCAGAGAGGATAAAGCCATTTATTCCCATAGCAAATATTTACTACATGTCAAGAACTGCTCTAGGTTCTGGGAATACAGTGGAAGACAGACAAAATCCCTGCCCTTAGGAAGTAACTTTTGTGGGGAAGACAACAGATACAATAAATACGCATATGTAGTGTAATGGAAACAACTATTAAAGCAGGAGGAGGGAATGGAGAGGAACAGAGGACACTACTTTGAACAAGTACATCTCCAAGGCTTCGGGCCTGAGCTCAAGGAGACACTTTTTCTAAGCAACTACATGAATTGCGAACCATCCCACTAGTACACCTTCCCTCTGAGAGTAACAGAACTGCAAGAGAGGAGAGAGCAGAAGTAGATTCCACTGCTGAGTTAGGGTGGTGAGCACAGAGGAGTGAAAAGAATGAACAGTTAAAGGAAAACATGCAGCAGGGATTGTCTGATCAGTTGCAGTTCTCATGTTTCCTTCCAGTGCCGGGAACTAAACCCATGACCCCACGGAGCAGACTGGGTCCTTTCTGGAAACACTCATATTATCCCATATTTTATTTTTTAAAATAATTACCACAAGCATAGATAAGTCTTCTGCTGTGTACTGTCTTTTTTCCCCTGAAAGACAACAAGTTTTATGAGGGCAAAAAACAGTCTTGTTAATATTAGTATCTCTTGTCCACACAGGGTAGATTATTAATAAACATCAAATGAATGAACAATTTGCTCTGTGGGCAAATAGAAATAATATCAGGCTTTATCTCATCTTTTCTGGTACCAGGGATTGAACTCAGGAAGCAGGTGCAGTGCCACTGAGCTAAATCCCTGACCCCAATATTAGGCTTTAATAAGTAATCACCTATCAGTCATGTTAAACACCACCCCTCCACCCCCACTTTGAGTATATCTTTGGATGATAAATGTATTTCTAAGTGCTGGGTGTGATCATGAAGGAATTCCATCAGCTCTGCATAAAGTGTAATCTGGAATCATCTCCGACCTTATCACCACACCACCTTATTGTATCCTTTAGTTCAGAAAAATCAACGGTTGATTATAATTTTCCTAGATAGTTCATGGGGCTATCACTGTGAATAATCATTGCACTCAGATGATTTCAGGAATGATGGAGATACATTAGATGGTTTACTCAGCTTGCTATGCTTTTAAGCTCGTCAGTCTGCTTTAGACAGCTCTTCCATCTCACTTCATGCGGCATTATGTTTTTGCTGCTGTGAGTATACTTATTTCTAAAACTTAGCCCCTTTTCTAATAAATTGCTGCTTCAAAGTAGGACCAAGCTGGGAAACCCATTTCCTAAAACAAAATCTTAGTTAAGCATCAACAGTGCTGATTGTAGGCCCAAGACAATCTATCCGACTTAAACATGGACTTGGACTACATATATGATTCTATGAGCTCTCAAGCTGATGAATATATACATAATGCCAGATATCTACTGAAAAGAAATATCAGAGGCTACGATGGCAAGCCCTTGCAAAGACAGTTAAGTGATCCTAAAATTCAATTCTTGGGCTCATCAGCTGGCCATTTATTAGTTCTTAGAAACTACCAGGACAGATGAAATATACATGACCTCAGCTGTACTAAGTAGTTGCAGGAACATTTTACAGAAGCTCAGAAGAAGTTATAATAAAGAAGTCAATCAATAAATCAATAGAACACTTTCTACCAACACAGCCAAATGAAATTATTTTGATAAAGAACATTTTTAAGGGGACAAAGCAAACTTATGGGATAACACACAAGTACTGATAATCTTTGTATTAATGTGTACCATTTTCAGCAAACTCAATGTCATTTGTCTCAGGATGCATCAGCACTTACCTTTGAACAAGTGGCAAAGGAAGAAAATTGAGGGCGGAAGTCATGTCCAGTCCACAGTCCAACATGATGGTGGTTGATTTGAACTTGAGGATGTTGCATGGTAAGGTTGGGTGCCCCGACAGGCAATACTGAAAAATTAAATCACCTTTATCAACAATCAAATACAGAAAATGCTCAAGAAATAAAGTGAACTATGTAAAACTGATGATCTTTTCTCATAAGAGTAGCATGCAAATTCATCTAACTTTCTATGCAACTTCCTTCTTTTTACTGCTTGGGTGCTTTACTTTCCTTAGCAAAATACTCAGAAGCCTAAGAGGACACCTGGCTTTTTGTTAAACACCAAGTTATATGTTAATTTTAGAGGGGGGGCCACAGCTGTTCAAATTAGAAAGCTTCAAGGCTATGGCTGTCTACTCCACTTTCACAGGGAGGTTCCAAATTCCTACTGTTCCAGCAGCATCTAAATACTACACTGTCTAAATCTGTGGCATTCAACGAGGCTCTAAGTTGAATTCTCAAATTCTGTCCTGGGTTTGGTTTCTCTCTTCTGTAAGTCAGTCAAGTGAATTTTCCACAAAGAGGAAATGTTTGGAAAGGTTAACCAATAGCACAAGCAAAGGTTTATGGCTCAGCCTTGTCAGGTGAAAGGGCTCAAAAGGATGAGTTCCCTGATGTTCAAACACTAAGCATGAGGGTGAGAGATCTTATTGCCAACCAATCAGGAGTCTCCTGTTCGTGCCCATAGGTCTTAGAAGTCCAAGGGCACAATCACCAAGGGAGTAAAAAAAAAAAAAAAAA